TACTGATGACCTTAAGGAGTAGGACACCTGTCTGAATGCCTACTGATGACCTTAAGGAGTAGGACACTGTTTGAATGCCTACTGATGACCTTAAGGAGTAGGACACTGTCTGAATGCCTACTGATGACCCTAAGGAGTAGGACAAATGTCTGAATGCCTACTGATGACCTTAAAGGAGTAGGACACCTGTCTGAATGCCTACTGATGACCTTAAGGAGTAGGACACTGTCTGAATGCCTACTGATGACCTTAAGGAGTAGGACACCTGTCTGAATGCCTACTGATGACCCTAAGGAGTAGGACAAATGTCTGAATGCCTACTGATGACCTTAAGGAGTAGGACAAATGTCTGAATGCCTACTGATGACTTTAAGGAGTAGGACACTGTCTGAATGCCTACTGATGACCCTAAGGAGTAGGACATCTGTCTGAATGCCTACTGATGACCCTAAGGAGTAGGACACCTGTCTGAATGCCTACTGATGACCTTAAGGAGTAGGACACCTGTCTGAATGCCTACTGATGACCTTAAGGAGTAGGACACCTGTCTGAATGCCTACTGATGACCTTAAGGAGTAGGACACCTGTCTGAATGCCTACTGATGACCCTAAGGAGTAGGACACCTGTCTGAATGCCTACTGATGACCCTAAGGAGTAGGACACCTGTCTGAATGCCTACTGATGACCCTATCGCATGTTTGTCTCCTAACAATGTCTTTGTTTGATTCTACCACACCTGCTAATATTCTTTTATAGGATTGTTTAAAAAAAAAACTTCAAATCGGCCACATCTAGTAAACCTGACAACCAAGCTTTGAGGAAACCTCAAAGACCTCAAGTTGACATCCTCTGTTATGGCCGACAGCGGATTAAGTACATGACCAGAGATTGATGAAGAAGAAGACAGTTTCTGCAGATTTGCAGGACATCAGGAGCCTCTTCTGGCAGTAGTGAAAAATCACAAGCTAGTCTGGTTCAGACACGTGCTGAGACATGTACTTCAATGTACTTGCTGGTCCAGTTTACATTTCCCAGCCCATCTACAAATTGGCTGACATTTCATACTTTCTCAGACTTTCTATGTCAGAGGGGTGTCACACTGTCTTGCCTCCAATTACATCAGCTTCGATGTCCTGTGTTCGACACTACATGACGACACAGCTTTTAATGACCCCATGAAATCTAGAACTGGCCCTAACCCAAACCCCCCCTACCCACAGCCTGAGCCTAGGTCACACGAGAGAGACTTTTTGAAGAAAGCAGTACAACATGACACCCCTCTGACCTAGATCAGACTGAGAAAGTGTGTAGATGGGGCAGGAAACATCAAAATGTTCTTTCTGCCTTTCCCTCATTCTCTTCCCATCAGTTTTGCCTGTTGTTACCCAGTTTTTCCGTCATCCCCCAGTATTGCCGGTCATTACCCAGTTTTGCCGATCATTACCTAGTTTTGCTATTCATTACCATGTTCTTGAGTCCAATACTTCTCAAAGCAGATAAAAAAAAAAAAAAAAAATTAGTGTCTATGTCAAATTTGTCTGATCTTGTTTTACTTCTTGACGTTCACCGGCTGTAAACTTGGGCGGAAAGTTTTGGTTGTTCGTCCACTTCTGGACTTCAGACTTGTTCCAGAACCTGAGTTTTGCATGCACATTCGTTTTATAGCCTATCTGCAGGCAAACTGTTGGTTCCTCACCTCTCAAGCAAACATATTCTGACTTTGGAGGAAACACCTTTTGGCACCTTTCCGTCTTTCCATAGTGTTATACTGAGCTATGAGGAGGCATGAGATTCAAAGCCCATGGAGATGGCGAGTGTGACTAGCAAGACCCGCCCGTGTCAAGAAAAGTCTTCCACAATGATAGCATGAGATTTCAGGACCACTGTTGTCAACATTTGTGTTTAATCCGTTTCTTTTCAGACGCTCAGCTCACATCCTTTCTGCAATCATTTCTTCCTTCACTCTCATTCCCTTCCTGATATGCCCTTTCCACACAACACGGTCCATGGCATTTTGTTTCCATGAGTCCACCTCAATACCTGTATCCTTCATAACCCCTAGTGAGAGGACACTTAATTCAGGAGGAAAAAAAAAGGGGGGGGGGGGGTGGAGTGGGTTTAAATGCAAATAAATCAGTTTAAAAAATAATAATTGATTATTGACCTATGTAATGTGGTTGTTTTTTTTTTAAAGGATGTTTTACAGGAATCGGAACAGATCCATTACCAATTTATTTAGCATTTATAGGACACAATAGTTACATTTCAAAGCCTTGCTTTTTGTTTTTAGTAATTGCTAAATCATTAACACCTTCACATCTCATTTGGGTACAGCCAAATTTCACCCTATGAAATCAATCATATCTCAACGATGCACAGTCATACCTTAATTCATTAAATAAACCATGTCGCAACTGAGTACAATCATGCCTAAATCCACCAACTATTCCACAGCCAGTAGAGTACAATCATATCTCAATCCATCAAATGTTAACTGAGTACAGAGCAGACCTGATAAGAAGAACTCACAGAGGACCCAAAAAATAGTTCTTCTTATCAGAAATTCCTCTTATCCAGATCAGAGTTCAAGCAAAATATATTGCCTGGGATAAAAAAAATATTCTGATTAGAAATTCGTCACATCTGCTATCGCCTTAAGTGGTCTTCACTGTATAGTCATATATAATATCTTATAAAATATTTACAGTTTCATTCAAATGAGTGTACATGAGCACAAACTTGTTGCATACACACATACATAATAATATGCACCTGAATCGACTGCCAGTAGCAATCATGAATAAATTATAGATTTTGTTTTCTATTATAGCTATGCTCATTCATATATACACCAGCCATGCAGCTTATGTACTAAATACGTTACTGAGATGTCCAGATACGTTACTGAGATGCCAGATACGTTACTGAGATGCCAGATACGTTACTGAGATGCCAGATACGTTACTGAGATACCAGATACGTTACTGAGATGCCAGATACATTACTGAGATGCCAGATACGTTACTGAGATACCAGATACGTTACTGAGATGCCAGATACATTACTGAGATGCCAGATACGTTACTGAGATACCAGATATGTTACTGAGATGCCAGATACGTTACTGAGATACCAAATGCATTATAAGATATACCGACTAGGTTATAGTGTTACACAGACATAATTTAACAGCAAGATATACAAACTGTGTTATTGAGACAGGGTTACTGACACAGACACACTGTTGCTGAGGTAGTGCTAAGAAGATAAACATTTATCTCTCAAGCAGGAGACTTGAGTTTGAATCCCTGATAAGGTGGCAAAACTCTATAGAAGCACAAGCATAACAAATCTACCCTGCACACTTCATGGTGACAGCACTAGCCACGCAGCTCTGGTGACAGCACCAGCCACGCAGCTCTGGTGACAGCACCAGCCACGCAGCTCTGGTGACTGCACCAGCCACGCAGCTCTGGTGACTGCACTAGCCACGCAGCTCTGGTGACTGCACTAGCCACGCAGCTCTGGTGACAGCACCAGCCACGCAGCTATGGTGACTGCACTAGCCACGCAGCTCTGGTGACAGCACCAGCCACGCAGCTCTGGTGACTGCAATAGCCACGCAGCTCTGGTGACTGCACTAGCCACGCAGCTCTGGTGACAGCACTAGCCACGCAGCTCTGGTGACAGCACTAGCCACGCAGCTCTGGTGACAGCACTAGCCACGCAGCTCTGGTGACAGCACTAGCCACGCAGCTCTGGTGACAGCACTAGCCACGCAGCTCTGGTGACAGCACTAGCCACGCAGCTCTTGTGACTGCACTAGCCACGCAGCTCTGGTGACAGCACTAGCCACGCAGCTCTGGTGACAGCACTAGCCACGCAGCTCTGGTGACAGCACTAGCCACGCAGCTCTTGTGACAGCACTAGCCACGCAGCTCTGGTGACAGCACTAGCCACGCAGCTCTGGTGACAGCACTAGCCACGCAGCTCTGGTGACAGCACTAGCCACGCAGCTCTGGTGACAGCTCTAGCCACGCAACTCTGGTGACAGCTCTAGCCACGCAACTCTGGTGACAGCTCTAGCCACGCAACTCTGGTGACAGCACTAGCCACGCAGCTCTGGTGACAGCACTAGCCACGCAGCTCTGGTGACAGCACTAGCCACGCAACTCTGGTGACAGCTCTAGCCACGCAAATCTGGTGACAGCACTAGCCACGCAGCTCTGGTGACAGCACTAGCCACGCAGCTCTGGTGACAGCTCTAGCCACGCAACTCTGGTGACAGCACTAGCCACGCAGCTCTGGTGATAGCACTAGCCACACAGCTCTGGTGACAGCACTAGCCACGCAGCTCTGGTGACAGCTCTAGCCACGCAGCTCTGGTGACAGCACCAGCCACGCAACTCTGATGACAGCTCTAGCCACACAGCTCTAAATCCCGAGGCTCCAGAATTTTCCCCAATAATAGAAGCAAGAAGCAGTAAGAAAGATGGTATAGCTACCACAATGATGCCTATGACATCAGAAACGCTAACTTGAAGGCCACACAAATAAGTTATCCAACACCAGGTAATATTTGCCCACTGTAGGTACTGAGTAAAGCCACAATTTTAATGTGGCAAATGCTGAGGTAAGTATTCCTCCTGCAAACAGTGGGTCTTGAGGTAAGTATTCCTCTTGCATACAGTGGGTCTTGAGGTCACTATTCCATCCCATACAATGAGAGCTGCGGTCATTATTCCCTTTATTTGGTTAGATGTGATGTCATTATTCATCCTCCAATTAGCCAGTTGTAGGTCATGATTTATCACCATACAACATGGGAGGTAACTACCACAGACAAATCAAACAAAAATGAATGAAGACAACACTGCTTACAGATCCCTCCAGAATGTATGGCCCTGTGGGCTGAGTCAACATAGAAGTATTCAGCACATACAACTCTGGGTTAAGTAACTCAAAGGATGATGGTGATGAGACAAGGAGGGGTGTGTGTTCAAACAGTGGTCACTGAAAGAAGGGGATTGTACTGTTTTCCCTCTCCAACTTTGTTTCCATGGGCTAACATTTCTTTGACGGTTGTGAAATTGTCAAACACTTTCTTTCCTTTATGCTTCATCATCTTTCTGTGACTTAGTTCAACGATGTTGACTTCTTTTTTCTCTTCTGTCTCTTTTAATGTTTCCAACTTGGCTTTAACCAGTAGCTCTTTTTTCTTTTTGTAATCTTTAGCTTTCTCTAGGTGGCGCTTGCGATCTTCTTTTGACCAGTAGCGTCCAGTTTTCATTTCTGACATGGCGTCATCATCGGTGGTCAGCCCGCACCTTTCCTCGCTGATTTTCTTTGCTCTTTCTTTGAGAAGTTTACTCCTGACAGGGCGGCGGGTGATGTATCGAGTACCATCTGGCCGCCGTTTGACCACCCACTCCATCTGACCACTGTCAGATGGCACTGTTTGGCCAGGGAGATTTTTCAAACCATCGCCAGCAACATCATTACCACTTCCTGGGTTAGAATGTCCTGGCGATTTGACGTGACCTCGCAGGCGGGACTGCTGTTCTAGCTGCTGTTGAAACAGCTTCTGCTGGACGGCCATTGTGTGTTGCAGGTTGGCACGGTTCGTGTACATGACGTCAGCACAGCGGAGGTACAAGTCCTGCAGGGACTCCCCCATGTGTGCCTGGTGGATCAGCCCTGCCTTCATGCTTTCAGCGATGCTCACGGCTCTGATGGTATGAGATGAGCTAGACCCTTTAGGGTGACCATGGCCACTGTCCTCACTGGAATAATCCCGGGGGGTGGTGAGTGTTTGCGTCTGCTTTTCTGTGTCACTGGAGATAAGTCCTGATGAGCCACTAGAAGGTGTGGCTAAACACAGCAGAGAACCACTAATACCTGGCTGCTCGCTGAGTTCCTGTGAGGCAGGGTTGAGTTCGAGGGTTAGAGGCGTGCTGCGGCATGATTCCCCCGTGTTGTATGCACTTGTTGTAGTCCACAAGTCTCGCTCCTTGTCGCACACACCCAAACTTTTAGCTGAGCTGGAGCTTGTGTTTGTGTTGGAACTGAATTCGGTGTACATACCTCGAACTGAGGACATTGTTGATGAGATGGATGATGTAACAACAGAACCATTACCGCCAACATAACTTTTTCCTGGGCCCAGATTGTTTGCAGTATTATTGTTGACATTCATAGTAATATTTCCAGAATTGGAAGTCACATGTGCAGATTTTCTCATGAAGGCAGAGTCTAAAAGATGTTTGGAGTACTCTAGGCGTGTGCCCATGCGGGGAACAATTCTGGTGTTTCTCTGGCTGTCCTCACGAAGAGCTTCTGGATGACCTAACAACGCCAAGTGCTGCTGTTTCCAGAGCTGATTGTCCAAGAGATCTTGGTACTCAACCTGAGGTGATGAGAAAAAAAAAGACGGTCCTAATTGTATATACAAACATCATTCAATCATGCAAGATTGCTTCTATCAAACAATGAACACAGTAGCAAACTTGCCACACATGGACATGATCATGTGAAATATAGGTCACACTGAAATTATTCATTGGAGATTTTTTCATCACAGAAATTACATATTTCTCTCCGAGTACCAGAAGAAGATGTTGTAGAAGATGCACACACACAAAAAATACATTATAAAAAAATATCCATAATTAAAATTCATCAATGAATCGCATTCAGAATGGTAATATAAAAGCAGTCCTGACTACTGAACAAGCCAGAATTCTTGAGTATGTTCTGATGAAATTTTAAAAAATATGAGTAAGTAATTAACTAAATACTGAGATTAACATTATTATGTACTGATCAAATACAAAAATATGAGTCGGTAACTAAGTAAACGACCCCTATCCATGCCTTCATGTGTATTGGGCATATAGGGCTAGAACTATATTTTAAAGATGACTTGCTGGAAAATGTAAAAGTAAGACAGCATATATATTAACTCTTTGAGTCCCGGGGGGTTTACCATCACAGGTCCAAGAGGTAATCAAAAGAGACGTAAAATTGGTGCATCATGCGTTCATTGTGCCTCTAGGTAGGAATCTATGAACGTATGATGTGTTCCTATGAACGTATGATGCGTTGCTTGGGACTCAAAGAGTTAAGCTAAGGAGGTGATTCAGCAGATAGGCTGATTAACACATCATATTCTGTTTAGAACTCAAACTGTTCATCATCATCATCACGTGCCCTGCCAACTGGTGTAAGCGTTCATGCGTCTCCACAGGTCACGATCCCTGGTTGCCTGTCTGTTGATGATACATCTCCATGTCATCGTTTCAGCCCATCCAGCATCATCTCTCTTGGTCTGCCTCTACCCACTGAATGTGAGTGTAAAATACTGGGTTTAAAAAATTGAATAAAATAATCTTCTCATCATCCATGCCGTGTAGTATTGGTAGTCATGTGTGTGCACAACCTTCTGCCTTCGAGTACTTTTAATTCTATGACACAAATTATCCTCCATGATTATGCCAAACTGTCCAGCATCCTCTCTCTGTCTTTCTGCTTCTTTTTCCCTCTAACTTTCCCACCGTCAGCATTTACTCCAGTTTTCTTCTTCTCCAGAATGTAGTTTCGTCTTCTTCTGATGTGGACAATCAATGTAGATTGTTTCCTTCTGATGTGGACAATCAATGTAGATCCTTTCCTTCTGATGTGGACAATCAATGTAGATTGTTTCCTTCTGATGTGGACAATCAATGTAGATTGTTTCCTTCTGATGTGGACAATCAATGTAGATTGTTTCCTTCTGATGTGGACAATCAATGTAGATTGTTTCCTTCTGATGTGGACAATCAATGTAGATTGTTTCCTTCTGATGTGGACAATCAATGTAGATTGTTTCCTTCTGATACAAAAACAACCACCTACAGCGACAACCCTACAGACAGCAAAACACTTATAAGAGCTGTAAACAAAGAGACTTGGTTGAACAGATTGGCCATGGAAGACACTGGAAGAGAGGTTTATAGACATATGGCTGGCCCTGATCCTAATGACAGCCTTAACCATTTAACAAGAAAGGACCAGGCCACCATCTTCAGACTTAGAATACAACATACTCAGTGGACATCTAAACAGAATACAGCCACAACAACCCCCCAGAGTGCCAGCTATGTAACTACCCCTACGAAACTGTTGAACACCATCTCTTTGAGTGCCCAAAATTCAGCGAGACTAGAAGAATGCTACTCCCTCTGAGACCAGACAAGTGGAACACCTTGTACGGAGGAAAAAAACAGCTTGTGAAAACATGCAAATTCCACTACATGGCACTGAGCCAAAGGGTGAAAGCTCATGCACCGCAGGATCGATAACTACAACAACAAACCTCTATTAGAGATATATGCAGGGCTATTTTTCTGGTAGTATGTAATGGTATGTATTACCCGGACTTAAACATTTTTTTGGTCCTTTTTTAAACTCTTTTAGTCCCATGGGAGTTTAGAATTGGAGGCCCAAGGGGTAGTAAAGAGAGCCGTCAAATCAGGACATCTTGCGTTCACTGGGCTTCTGGGTAAGAACTTATGATGTTTCCTTGGGACTGAAAGAGTTTTCATTTTTTCCCTACCACCACCACCGTAACAGATGTGGAAAAAAGCCATTAATAAATCTTGATTCTCTGTCATGAATAATCTTCTTCTTCTTCTTCTTCTTCGCGTTCACCAGCTGTACACTCTAGCGGAAAGTTCTGGTTGCTCGTCCACTACTGAACTGCAGTCCTGCTCCAGAACCTGAGTGTTGCGTGTGCATCAGTTTTACAGATCTCATTCTCTTGAATACAGACTGTTGGTTCCTTGCCTCTCCGGCAGATGCACTCCGACTTCAAAGGAAGCTCCCCAATTAGTCGACTCTTACGACATGCTTTTTGGGGAGGCAGTGGGTCAATTCTTGTTTTCCCCACAATGGGGCCCCGGAACCCACACGGGGGTCATGAATAATGAAAGAGGTATTTATTGTTTCAAAAAAACATAACCAGAGACCAGTTCTCCTACCTACAGGACAGACATATGTCCTGTTTAATGTTAGAAATATAAAAATATTTATCCCCGGCAGGGGAAAGGAGGAGGGGTTTGAGTCTCAAGATTAAGGACCGCATGGCTAGTGCACTTTAGAATATTTTTTTTCCTCCTGACAGAAAAAAAATCCATCACCTTACTGAGGATTCAAATCTGGGTCTTTTGTATAAGGGCCCAGTGTCTATAACCATTCCACCAGCTGCTCCTCAAAGAGGTACTGATGGAGTTCAGAAATGACAACTAGAGAATGAGAGTCCTACCTGAATATCCTCAAGATCTCTGTTGAGTACAGCCAGTTCAGGCTCCAGATGACATTCTGTGCCCTGTTTGTCGCCAAGTTGGCCGGCATTTCGAATGTCTAGCACATCTTGAAACCTGGCACAGATGTCAGCTGGAATGTCACTAGGTATAAAACTGCTGCCGTAGCTGTGCTGTTGCTGCGGCTTGCCAATCATTATCTGCCGCAGACTGACACTCTCGTAATCTGTTTCCTGAAAATACAACATATATAACATTTGTTTATGTTTTGAAACATTTTATTTCATCGAAATTACAGCCTGAAGGATTAACACCGCACTGTGACTCAAATAGCCACTTTCTTGTATGCAAACCAAATACAGGATGTAAATTATTTTTTTCCTGGATTTTTTTAACATCCCCCCACCCCCTTTTACAACAGAGCAGAGAAACAGGAAGAGAATCGCCAAAAAACGGAGGAAGCAGGAACATCTAAATTAACCTTCAAATGACTGTTGATGAGAGAGACTAGAGGTGTTGGACTGTCCCCATTACTAGCTGGTGGAAAGCAGACCTCTTTGTGCTGATTGCAACACTGGTATTGAGAGCTGACCATTCTGAAAGCAATAGCAAACTACTTAATGTAAACTGCCTAAAAATACAAACAGCCAAAAAATTGCTGGGGGTTGTTCTGCAACATCCCGGAAAGAATATACAATTAACTTATTTTGTTTCTTTGTTTTGTTTTGCTACGAGTGCAGTGAGTCTACCTGCCTCCCCCCCCCCCAATGGGCCTCAGAAACACACACAGACACACATCGTATTACTGTGTAAGTAGGTGGGCAATGGATAATGAATAATAATGAGCATGTGTTATGTCATGAATATTAATTAGGACACATTGTGTATGCATGGTAGGTATGTAGATGGAGAGAGCAGAGAGTACAGATTGCTGTATCATGACTGTGGATTAGAAGGGGGTAGACTGATATAGTATCCATATGTCTGGAAGTTTTATAAATGTGAAATGAGAGGACAGATTATTAATGAATGTGGATCAAGTGGACACATTATTAATGAAAGCGGATTGACAGAACAGATAATTTATAAATGCAGGCTGAGAGAATAATTATTAATGAAAGTGGATTGACAGGACAGATAATTAATGAATGTGGATTGAGAAAATAATTATTAATGAAAGTGGATTGACAGGACAGATTATTAATGAATGCGGATTGAGAGGACATATTATTACTGAATGGGGATCGAGAGGCCAGATTCGCAATAAATGTGGATTCAGAGGAAAGATGATTAATGAAGGTAGATCGATAGGACAGGTTATTAATGAATGCAGATTGAGAGGACAGGTTATTAATGAATGCAGATTGAGAGGACAGGTTATTAATGAATGCAGATTGAGAGGACAGGTTATTAATGAATGCAGATTGAGAGGACAGGTTATTAATGAATGTGGATTGAGAGGACGGGTTATTAATGAATGCAGATTGAGAGAACAGGTTATTAATGAATGTGGATTGAGAGGACAGGTTATTAATGAATACAGATTGAGAGGACAGGTTATTAATGAATGTGGATTGAGAGGACAGGTTATTAATGAATGCGGATTGAGAGGACAGGTTATTAAGCACCCCACAGTCGCGTATACTGGACTTCCGCCGCCACCTCGTAGCGTCCCACAGTCGAGTATATTCGACATCTATATATGGTTGAAGAATATGAAGCCTAAACGGAGCTACGCGTGTGATGTCACTTGAAAACTATAAATAACTCTTCTAGAGTGGTTTTACTTCCTGTGATTGCTGAGAGTAGGTTTGTGTGATCAATTTTTCTGAGCCAGTTCGATATCCATCACCATCCTTCGAAATGGAAGCCATTTATTCTGAAATCTTCATGGATTCTGACGATGAGATTTTGGGTGTTACTGCAGCCGATATCAGTCGCGAAGTTGATATGTCTGGAGACGTAAGTGAAAGTAGTTCTGTTTCCAGTGTGTCAGATTCTTCGGATAAGGAATACGAGGTGGTAAGTGGTCGTGCTCCCTCTGGTTACAACCATTTTTGGCTTTGCGACTTCTCTGAAGTTGTGGGACCTATAGGCCTACCTGATAATATTAGTGAGGTCGACATGTTTCGTCTGTTTATTACAGATGATATACTGAACATGTTGGTGACCGAGACTAACCGTTACCAGGGGCAGGTTAGGGCCAAGAAGGGGGCAGACGCTAGTTTGTCCCATTCTTTCAAGAAGTGGAAGGAAGTCACAGCTGATGATATGAGATCGTTTATTGCTGTGACGCTCCTTATGGGACTTGCACCTCGTTCCTCATATGACTTATATTGGACTACTGAAAGTCTGCTAGAGATGCCTGGGTTCAGGGAGATTATGAGTAGGAACAGGTTTCAATTACAAAATAGATTGCTGTGAGGAGCTGCATGACTAATTGGTGAGTCTTTATGTTTGTACTGTTTTTTTTTTACATTTTTCCCATTTCACTCTGTCCTCACACATCACCTATCAAACATACACCAACAAAACTCATATCAATGTATGCAGAAATCATTTGTTTATTTCAGTTTAAATAATTATGCAAAACTATTCATAAACCAAAAAGTTATTGTGTTTTCCATGTTTCCTCTATAAAAAACGCGAAATGTGAAAAAATAAGGTGGGAGGCAAGGGAAATAATTTGAATTTTTATTGTGGGGTGCTAAAGGTTAATGAATGTGGATTGAGAGGACAGGTTATTAATGAATGCGGATTGAGAGGACAGGTTATTAATGAATGTCGGTTTAGATGACAGAATATTAATCAATATGAACTGAGAGAACAATTATTAATGAATGTCAGTTTAGATGACAGAATATTAATCAATATGAACTGAGAGAACAATTATTAATGAATGTCAGTTTAGATGACAGAATATTAATCAATATGAACTGAGAGAAAAATTATTAATGAATGTGGATTGAGAGGACAGGTTATTAATGAATGTGGACTGAGAGAACAATTATTAATGAATGTCGGTTTAGATGACAGAATATTAATCAATATGAACTGAGAGAACAATTATTAATAAATGCGGATTGACAGGACAGGTTATTAATGAATGCGGACTAACAAAAGAAGAAACTTGCATCACAGGTATAGATGACCAGCTCACCTGTTCACAGCTCTCTTCATTTCTGGTACTCTCATCAGTACGCCCAAACCCACTGTCTTTCTCGTGTCTCTGGGAGGAGGTTTCTGTTGCAGTTGTGTCTGTGGCTCCGCCCTCTTCGTCAGCCCGATTCTGGTGACATCAACATTAAATTGTGGACCAATGTTTTAGGGATATATTTCAACACTCCTTTGATACCAATAAAGTATGTACTAAAATCTTTCTGCAGTGAGAGGTCCTAAACAAGCAATGATGCATAATACAAGACCCTTAATGTCTTTTCGCCTCTCTTGCTGAGCCTACCTTACTTTCATGTGAGGGACCCTGTTTTCTCCAGTAATCAAGTGAAAGGTTGGGTTTTCAGCCCCAGCAGGAAACTGGCTGGGACAACAAATTAGGTAAAGGGGAAATCTGATTCCACATTGGCCAGCTACTCAGCTGAGTATGATGCAACACTGAGAGCTGTGAATCTCCTGGGGAACGCTTACTGCCTGTGCTCCCAGAGATACGTGTTGTACACTGCACGTTCAGAAAATAGTGAATGACTGGTTGCTACACTTTTGAATCTCCTTTGCAGGCAGTTACCCCCCCCCCCCCCCCCCACCAAAAAAAAAACCCACACAAAAGCATGTTGTTCTTTGATGGTACACTCCATAAGTATAGTCGCCATTTTTCCTCTGTGTTTCGAATATGCTTGCAACACCTTATGAGCGGAGACATAAAGTTTGATGTTGCTGTCACTTAATGACCCATTCAGAAACTACCAACTACATTTACCTGCTATCCCACAACTATTTGTGACTTACTGACTGACTTCCCATTATTTCTTATATTGATCTTCTTCTTCTTCCTTCATCCAAAGATATAATTGTGTTGTGTCCCTTTACAGCACAGCATGGCTGCGACATTTGCATCTTTTGGCTGAAAAATGTGACTATTGCAGACATTTCTGGACAAGTGTCCCGGATTATACTGATCTCATTCTCTCACTTTTTCCAATTTCAGTTTTGGTTTAAAAAAACAAATTTCCACATGCCTCTTGTGACTTAATCACACACACACACAAATCAACAAAGTGAGCAGCAGCTTGGAGTACTCACCCTTGCCAGCATGGAGGCCATGAACTGCATGTTGTCATGGTGATTCTTCTCCAGCAACTCCATGTGCAGGTCATCCAGTACTGTGTTGGGCTCTTCCATGTAGCCATCATCAAACTGCCGGCAACAAACAGGATTCATCAAACATAATTTAACAAGTGAGACCTCAGGTATATGATGTAAAGTAAAGGTCCCTTTTCCATGCCTTTAGGTGTATAGGGCATATAGGGCTAGACCTATATTTTTTTTAGACCAATCGGCACAAGATGGGTGATGTGGTCAGCATCACGTCGGCCACCTTAACTTTCCGGGACTGCACCTGGAACCCACTCCAAGCTGGGTCGACCTGGGAGTCAAGGTATATGATGCTAGACCTGGTGCCAGTTCAAGACTAACAGCCGAGGTGAGAATAATCTGACTGCATGTGGACTCCCAAGACTTTTGTGCTTGCAGACCAGTATCTAGCCATGACACTACCATGGCTTCCAGGTAGGACTGAAAAATACTGTTGCTCCTCTACTACCCTGGGATACAGTCTCCTTCTTGTTTGTGTTCACTGGCTGTAAGCAGCAGTAAAAACTTGTGGCTGTTTATCCACTGCCGCACTTTAGCCGCGTTCCAGGTTTCCAGGAAGATAAACAGTAAAATAAGACCTTGTTGTCTTATATATTAAGTTCAAATAACAACAAACAGAAAGACAAAATGATAAACAGACAAGACAGACAGATAGATCAACAGACAGACAGACAGACACAGATAGATAGATATAGATAAACTGATAAATGGAAGCATGATCTGGTATTTAGATAGATAGATAAGCTTGCAGCATGTAGACAGAGACTGATGAAAGAAGCAAGAAGATGCTGACACTGGAAAAAAGAATGACACATGACAGAGAAGAGACTAAAGCTACCTCTAGCTGCGGGCGAGCCACTGTCAATGAGATGTCTGCACCTTTGCCAGAAAACAAGGAAATGGCCTCAGAGCGGCTGCGGACGTCCACACCATTTATCTAAGAAATAATACACAAATGTTAGTGGGCAGCCATAGCATGTGGATAACTTTATTTTACACATTACTACTGATCTGCTCACTTACCAGTTAAATTATAGTCTTAAACTGCTCTGAATAAGCATATTATGTAAATTCTTCTTCTTTCCTTCATTTGAAATAGATTATTTTAATCTGCAATGTTGTCTCTAGTATGAACTTCACTGTCTGTTGTAATTCAATCAGCAGCCAGTAAAGTTTAGCTTGCACCGATGTTTCTCTTGGCCAAAAGTTTTGCGTCGATGTGTTGTATCTGAGACAGTCTTGAAGTATGTGATCTGTTGTCTCAGGTGCTAATCCCCATGTACACATAGCTGATTCGCTAATCTTAAATGTCTGTACATGTGGCTGTGAAGTCGACTGTGTCTTGTTATTATTTTTATTATGTAAACTGTCAAAAATTATGACTGCCATAAAGTGACTGGTTCTCAGCAGCGCTTTTTCTAGAAAAATGTGTGCTGTTACTGAGGAAAAAGTGTCTAAAAAAAGTGCTGGTATTCACCTAAAGTGTCTACTACAGTAGAGCTTAAAAATATCATGCTAAAAAAGGTGCCAGTTCTGTCTACGGTTAAAAAAAGCCCTTGTTTTCAGTGCATTTCAGTCAGATGCCATTTCCATAATGAATCCTAGTTACACTGGATCTCCAAAACTTCTGCCTCTCACCTTGGTTTCAAGCAGACTTTGCTTTCTCTCAGTATCATCTGCCCACTTGTATCAGTGCCTACCAACTGCTTGCCAGTCTTCAACTTTTACTTCTTTAGTGTCATTTTTAGTGTTATGTCTTTTACTGTGGCCAAAATATTTCACTGTTTTATTATTTTCATTAGCAGCCTCTGAGCGGCTAGATGCTTACCTGCGGAATCAAATCCCAATGGTGCTGGATTATTTTTCAAAAGTGACTTTGGCTTCCGCCTTGACCCAGCCTTAATGGGTACCAGGTAAAAGTCATAGGAAGTAAAGGTGGCCAGAGTGATGCTGATCCCATTACCCACTAAGTGCTGATTGGTCTATTTAAAAAAATAGGTCTTACCCTATATGCCCAAAAGATACCTGAAGGTATGTAAAAGGGTCCCTTACTTTACGTATTATTTGCATCAGCTCTCTTTTCAGTCCCATTCTTTCTAGAACCTCGGCATCTGATTTTGTTGTTGTTCAACATTATCATCATTATATGCAATGCCCTCGGCATCTGATTTTGTTGTTGTTCAACATTATCATCACTATATGCAATGCCCTCGGCATCTGATTTTGTTGTTGTTCAACATTATCATCATTATATGCCATGCCAGTAGGCACAGGCTGTCATGGTTAGCCATCTCACATGATCACCAGAATTCCGGATCAGTTCAATGTTTTTGTCTCGCCCCATCCATGGCTAGGCCATCCAGGTATGTATCTCTTTGCTTTCTTTCCATCAACCTTGCCGGTTGTTAAACCAAATTCTCGAGTTGATTTATTCTCATAAAATGTCAACAACAACAAAACATTGACTGTCCACATCGAACTGTTCAGATAAATTTATGTCTTTCATTTGTCTCAATGAGGGGTTGCTTCATTTGTTTTTCTATCCTTCTATGATATTCTTTGCATTCTTCTCAGAAACCAATCTCTGTTGCAAATAAATATTTCAATACTCCTGAAATATTGCCATCCTTAAGTACTTTTTTTTTTGTTTAACAGGTTTGTAATGTTGGAATCTCAAAGAATGTATCTGGCTGGTAATATTGGAATAGTAAAGGAAAGGTTTGTAAATATTAAAATTGTTTTGGGCGGGCCTATTCAACTGGTGGTATGTGGGCCAAATATGGCTCGCAGAGGCTAAGTAAGTGGCCTGTGGATTGTGGCCAGTTGTACTGTGTTAATGATCTAACTATGTTTAGGGTGGAGCCTCTGGCCCGTGATGATCCCCATTTTCAAAATGTTGCATGCTTTAGGATGATACATTTAACAGGTTTGTAATAGTAGAATCCTACAGGAATGGTCTGTTTAACAGGTTTGTAATAGTAGAATCCTACAGGAATGGTCTGTTCAACAGGTCTGTAATAGTGGAATCCTACAGGAAGGTTTGTTCCACAGGTTTGTAATAGTGGAATCCTACAGGAAGGTTTGTTCCACAGGTTTGTAATAGTGGAATCCTACAGGAAGGTCTGTTTAACAGATTTGACAAGCTGGAATTCTTAAGAATGTGTATGTTCAACAAACTTGTTAAGTCAGAATGTATTTGTTTCCTGTCTTGTGTATATCAGCTTGGTGCAGGCAAACAACATTTCAACAAGAGCCATCTCTGACAGGTAGAGGCTGGCTAGACACAATGTTTATGTGACTCTAGGCAGGCTAGATGTAATGTTTATGTGACTTTAACTGATGTTTAGGTGACTATAACATGTGAACAATAGCTAATCATTTCTGTCAACATTTCATTGCTTGTATGCCTGTAAAATCTCTTCAGAGTTTTTAGGCAGTGTTTTTCTTTTCATTCTTCACGATAACACCAATACTACTATCAGTAAACTGGACAAATAAATGTAAATAAGTGTTTATTTCGTTGTTCTTGAAGTATACCTTCCTCTTCTTCTTGGTGTTCACTGGCTGAAAACTCCACTAGAAGGTTCTGGTTGTTCTCTTGCTTCTGAACTTTTTTGTTTTGTTCCAGAATTTGAGTTTTGTGTGCACGTTCGTTTAACAAGTCTGCTTATTTAGAGGCAGACTGTTGACACCTTGCTTCTCAGGCAGAAGCACTCCAACTTTGAAGGAAATGTCCCTAATTACTTTTACGGCGTGCTTGTTAACGTAGCTGTATCCCCCCCCCCCCATCCTTTTTCCCCAACCAATGTGAATAGTAAAACAGTGGTAAACATTTCAGTGTATCATAAACTAAATGTGTCAAACATCAGAACACATTAGGGACTAATGCAAACAGATCATATCTCTCTTTCAGCACAATACATCTGATTTCAGAAAAACCCTAGTTAGTCGCCTTTCACAAGAAGCTCAAGGGGCAGTGGGTCTATTCTTTTTATGGGCTCAGAAGCCTAAAGAGAGACAGCAGACATACAAACCTGTGCAATTAGATTGCCTACAGCAAGATATTAAACAACCAAGAAAAAAAAAAGATTATCCACAACAAGATGCTAAACAACCAAGAAAGACTGCCTACAACAAGATATTAAAGAACCAAGAAACCGGTCTCAGTGCTAAGATTCAACTAAGTTTACTCTGAGGCTGAAGTTTTGGAAATGGGGATCCTCATGGGCCAGAGACCCAGCCTCAGCATATATAGATCATTAATACAATACAACTGGCAATGATCCGTGGGCCACTTTCTAGGCCACCACGAGCCAGATTTCCCCAGTTAAGTATCCTAAAGAAACTAAATGCTCACGCAAAAATGTAATTAGAGATCAGACATACCAATGTGTACAGTGTGGTCACCGGAGCTTTTTTCCTAGAAACAACGGTGCTGGTACAAACCATAAAGAGTCTTTAAAAAAGTGCTGGTGCTCACAGCAAAGTGTCTATTAAATCTGCGCTGAAATAATACCTACACAAAAAGTGTCAAGTACAGCCAGATAAAAAAAAGTCCTGGTTGTCACCCACATAAAACACACAGTGTTGTCACCCACATAAAACACACAGTGTTGTCACCCACATAAAACACACAGTGTTTTCACCCACATAAAACATACAGTGTTGTCACCCACATAAAACACACAGTGTTGTCACCCACATAAAACGTTGTCACCCACATATACACACAGTGTTGTCACCCACATAAAACACACAGTGTTGTCACCCACATAAAACACAGTGTTGTCACCCACATGAAACACACAGTGTTGTCACCCACATAAAACACACAGTGTTGTCACCCACATAAAACACACAGTGTTGTCACCCACATAAAACACACAGTGTTGTCACCCACATCAAAGTTGCCAAATTAACAAATAAATAATGTGGTCAACCAAAACCCACAAACAACTACACAGTTGAGCAGACTTACCTGTACAATTTGGTCACCCTCTCTGATTCGGCCATCTCTGCCAGCTATACTGCAAGGGTCCACCTGGCAACAGAAGAAAAAAATCAGGTCATAGAAGCCAGGAATATTCAAAACAATAATAATAAAAGGCACATGCAAGTTGTGTTATCATCCTAACTCATGACAACATGTTTTAGTTATCCAGTTCTTTTTCTCCTTATTGCTCCTCAAAATAGGTATTACTTGGATGCATAATGTTACGTAATAGTAACACAGCAATCTAGTAACAGTAGCACTACAATCTAGTAATAGTAGCACTGCAATCTAGTAATAGTAGCACTGCAATCTAAGAATAGTAACACTGCAATCTAATAATAGTAACACTGCAATCTAAGAATAGTAACACTACAATCTAGTAACAATAGCACTACAATCTAGTAACAGTAGCACTGCAATCTAGTAATAGTAACACTGAAATATAGTAATAGTAACACTTCAATCTAGTAATAGTAATACAGCAAAATAGTAATAGCAGCACAACAATCTAGTAATAGTAGCACCGCAATCTAGTAACAGTTGCACTACATTCTAGTAACAGTTGCACTACATTCGAGTAACAGTTGCACTACATTCTAGTAACAGTTGTACTACATTCGAGTAACAGTTGCACTACATTCTAGTAACAGTAACACTACAGTCTAGTAACAGCAGCACTACATTCTAGTAACACTGCAATCTAGTAACACAGCAAAAAAAGTAATAGCAGCACAGCAATCTAGTAATAGTAGCACAGCAATCTAGTAACAGTTGCACTACATTCTAGTAACACTGCAATCTAGTAACACAGCAAAAAAAGTAATAGCAGCACAGCAATCTAGTAATAGTAGAACTGAAATCTAGTAACAGTTGCACTACATTCTAGTAACAGTAACACTACAGTCTAGTAACAGCAGCACTACATTTTAGTAACAGAAGCACTCTAACTTAGACAGAAACTCAACAGCCAGCAAACAAGAGAGACTGGAGAGTTCAGTTTCCAGAAAATGAGGCAGAGGCCAACCTCAGCGAACGTGGATACAGGATATTAAAGACAGACAGACTGACTTAGAAAGCACATGGGGCTGGAGAATTGGCTAAAGAAAGAGATACTTTCAGGCGAGCCTTGAAAGGAGTGATATTCTGTAAAGGACCTGTTAACTGAGTGATGATGATGAACTGCATTTTTGTTCCAGGGTATGCTGGTGTGAAAGGCAATGAGAGAGCAGATGTCCTGGCTGGCAGCGCACAAAATCAGGAATGGGCCATCTATGAACAGGAGTGTCATGATCCTCAATGCTAAAGGAGATACTCTGTGAGGCGTTCAGTTCTCAATTCCATCGGAAACAATTTTTCACTAAACAGACTGTATAGCCTAGGTCAGTGGCTGGAAAATTGTGACTGGCGAGTCGCATTTGGCTTTTTAGCGACTTGAGTGCGGCTCGGCAACTGATGATATTAATCTATTTTCAGGCATTGTCTTAGTCCCAGTTCTCTGCTACCCTTCCCCAACCCCCACCCCCTTTTTTTCTAACAGCAAACTGCTGAACAATCATCATCATTTCTCTCTCTCTCTCTCTCTCTCTCTCTCTCTCTCTCTCTCTCTCTCTCTCTCTCTCTCTCTGTATGTTTCTATAGGTTCCCATCTATCTCTATCTGCAGTCTAGCTGGAATAATTTAAGCACGGAACAAGGCTAGAAATGTAAGACAGGTCTGTGTGCTTAATTCTTAACACTGTTAATAAAGTTCGTTCCTTCTATATGCCTCCCCCCCCCCCCCCCCCCCCCCCCCAGCTCACATTCTTTTCTACCCATCCTTCGTTCCCCAAGTTGTGTAAAAAAAAAAAAAAACTGTATATTGGTAGCTGCACAAAATACATTCACTTAAACCTTAAACTAGCCAGGGACCAACCACATGGGCGGGTAGGATTGTAAATGGACCTGCCATTTAAGCACAATAAATCCACTGCAGAAACAACGGCGACGTAATTATAGACACAGTGATAAACATGTCCTTGGCAATATAATTCCATTTGGCATATACGCAAAAAGGTGTTTATATTTCAAAGTTTTATGAGATTAGCTGGTGCAATGTTGAATTAAGAATCGACATCATAGAACTCGGGACACTGCCATATGGTGCTCCGTCCCCATCTTCAGCAGCAAGTGAAGAGTTCCAATTCCGACGGTATCAGTAATTGTCTGACTGTCTTGCCTTTCCCTTGAGTGTTGAGCGTCGGTAAGATCCACTGCTGGTGTAATAATAGAGGAAAACGATTTAACAATTCTCTCTCTCTCTTTCTCTCCCCCCCCCCTCCCCCTCTGTAGGTTTCTACAGGTCTTTGGCTGTCTCTATGTGCCACGCCACCCCAAAATGTAAAAAAAAAAAAAAAAGAATTCAGTACGTCTGTAGCGTGCACAAAACGCATTTACTGAAATCTTAACCCAGTCGCAAGGGCGGGTGGGGTTGTAAATGGACCTGCCATTTAAGCATGATAAATCCACGGCAGAAACAACGGCGACGTAATTATAGACACAGTGATAAACATGTCCTTCGCAAAATGCCTGCACACCCTGCGCCATATTTATCTTCACTGTGCCGGTGCCATCGAGGAGACACGGCCATGTCAAACGATGTCCTAACAAATTATGATGGATGACATGTCGTGAACACTGGAACATGCACACCATTTTCCCATGACTTTTTGGAATCATGTCGGCCGGGCGGCAAATGAAGGGAGGCAAATGGCGGCTAGACACGAAACAACGGCATTGTGCCAGTTTGTCTCCGACCACTGGGGAATTTTTTTCGCTGAAGTTCGGATAGATGGTTCTTCTTTGTGATTATAGAATGGCTTTTATCTTGTTTTCTTGTATGTTTTTACGTTATTCACTTTTCTCCACCCCCCCCCCCCTCCCTCAAAAAAAAAAAAAAAAAGTGCCACGAAAATAAAATTCTGCCAGTGTTCTCAACAGTTTATCTTTGTGTTTCTCAATTTACTGAAGTATGTATCAAACGCCTTGTTCCGTTATTCAGTTCTCTAAGAAAAAAATATATTTTGTTTTTAGTTCATTCAGTCGTCTCCGTTAAAAAAAAAAAAAAAAAATTTTATTTTCTCATGTATCAATCTACTGTTTTATAAAATTATTTAGCTTTAAAAATCTGTTTTTATTAAATTTGTTTGATGTGTGTATTTTTTTTTTTTTGGGGGGGGGGGGGGGGGGGGGGGGGAGAGAAGGAATTCAATTTGTGTTATACAGCTTTTACTTCTGCGTATGTCACAAGCTTTGCAGTTAACAATTCCTGGACCAGGTCACCCATTGGCTCGCCAATGAACGACTTCGTCGTCGGCCGGGGCAGTATGTGCGTATGTCTCCTTTAATCGCATCAAACACTGCATGAGTACTTTTCAGGGCTTGTAGTGGCGTGCAATGCTATGGCGCACATAACCTATTCACAATTTTAACCTAAAGCTCTCCTTCAGGGATGCGGCTGAACATGACGATTTTAAAAAAAAATCTTTCTCAAAAACTGATGACGATGAAGCACTGCAGTCATGTTGCCAGCAATTAGCGGTGATTTAAGCACATTATGAATTTCTTCTTCTTCTTGTTTATTGACCGGCTGTAAGCTCCGGTGGAAAGTCTTGGTTATTCGTCTATTTTGACTTTGTGCTAGGGCCTGAGTTTTACGTGCACATCCGTTTTACTGACTTATTTGTGTTCAGTTGGTTGTTCCTTGCCGCTCGGACAGATGCACTTCGACTTCGAAGGAAGCGCCCAGTTAGTCGACTCCTACGACATGCTTGCTGGGAATGCAGTGGATTTATTGTTTTCTTCACAATGGGGCCCCGGAACCCACACGGGAAATTATAAATTTCTTTGTTGCTTCTCACTGTTAATTCTCCACAGTCTGCATCTTTGATGAGTCTCTTTGTCTTGTTGTACGCCACCAGGACATCACACAAGCGATAAACACCTGTTGACACCAAGTGAAACCACACGGATGAGGATCACCTGTGGAGAGGTCCCAGAAACCTCTTTTAGCCGTGAGGCCATTTTTATTCTACTTCTTCTTCTTCAGCATTCCGAGCCGTTGAGGTTCATTGCTGCAGATATCACCCGCCTCCATTCATCTCTCTGGTTGGCCTTCTCTTTCCAGTTGGTAACACCAAGTGTTTGCAGGTCTGCCAGGACATTATCTCTCCATCGTCTTCTTGGTCTCCCTCGTGGTCTACGACCATTTATCTCCCTGGTGTATACATATTTATAATCTGGCTATATTCAGGGCACCCGGCAAGAAGCCAGGATGGAGCTTTCAACTAACGACACATTGCATCCCCCATGGGGATGACTAGTCAAAAATGATACCGGTAAGTCTAAAGATTCCTTCTTAAACTTTGTTCTCAAAAGTGTGCAATAACGCTTCTCGTTTAGCTGTAAGAGACTCAACCAGAAATATAAAGAGTGAAATCTCAAACATGATGGCTCGAACTGAACTGGTGGTTTTATGGCCACTTTGATTAAATTCTTCGACGGGAGTCGCCGTGGCGTAGCGGCTAGACGCTCTTGTGCGGATCGAAAGGTCGTGGGTTCGCTCCCTGGCGAAGCTGGACTTTTAAAAAATGACCTTGACTCCCAGGTCGACCTAGCCTTGAGTGGGTACCGGGTGCAGTCCCCGGAAGTAAAGGCGGCCGTCGTGATGCTAACATCACCCATCTTTTGCCGAAAATTGTTCTATAAAAATATAAGTCTAGTCGTGAAAAAGAGACCTTTACTTTTTTTTAAACTACAGATGCGACGGGCCTAGCAAGCCGGCACTAAAAAAACAAACTGCCTTTAAACGTAAAGAAGGGGGGCAACTCCACTGCTTTGACAAATACAAATGTACACGTGTACAGCACATCACAGGAATTGTTTTGGAACCTTCCATGGTGACGTATCACACCCCTCCCTCCCCGTTGACAACAGGTCACACCCCGACACTGCTCTATCTAATGATCAGAAAATGCACGGAGCCACGGTTCAAAAATATCAGCCAGTATCCTC